CAGTTTCGTCGAAAAATGCAGACGAGAAGCCAAAGGAAGAAATCTCAAGGAGCAGCCAAGACCAAAATGTTGGCGGGCAGTGCCGTATATTGATGGTATATCTGAAGGATGCGCTCGACTGGTCAGCGAATTGGCGTCGCTCACCGACCGGAGGCGCCAGTCCGCAGGCAATGCATGCAACCTAAAGACCAAATACTCGTTAACCAAAAATCCGATGTCATTTACTGGATCAATTGTCTTCGTGTTAGAGCTAATTATGTTGGCGAAACTGGCAAACGGGTTCTCGCGAAACTACACGAATACGAACTCGCCTTGCGACGGAAGTACAAGCTTTCCTTGGTAGCCGTCCACACATATCGCCAGGGCACGGCTTTGATTTCGAAGGCTTGAGCATACTGAGTCAGTCAGACGACCGAATGTTACGCCTGCTGGCACTCACGCGAGGATTCTATTAATAGGAATATCGATCTTTCTGAGGCCTATCAGGCGTTGCACGAACAAATCAATAGCAGAGCTGAAGGTCACTCCCGGCAGAGGTGAGCTAAATATGCAGTGAGTTGTGCAATCGTTTGTCCCTTGACAATTGGCTCGTTTTAGGGTTAGAAGCGCCCGACAAATAAAAAGCTGGTTCCAGAGCACGCCTTCCCGTCTTCTATATACACTTTTATAGGTAAAGTGTAGTCATTGGCTTTGAGAACAAGGATGTTCTACAGAGAAACAAGTACGCTCCCAACCACTACTCCATGTGTCTTCTCCGTTGACTATCGCACACTGACACGTGCACATCCGATTCAATTCTTTCAGACCTCGTTTTTCCAGTTTGCGCACAAAGATTCTGGAATTTAGAGTGAAGTCGAGTTCGCAGAAGTGCATTTCAGTCAAACCTACATCACTTAAATTCTGCGTTTGCTTACCTCAAACTGTGATCATACTCATGGAGTGAAATGAACGAAGTGCCAAAGTGGGCTATACTTACTGTCCTGCCTACAGTGTGTTATCCGAGTGCTTCCCATAAAATTGATGCGACTGTGGTGCACTGACGTCGACAGTGTGCCTCTAGTTGTCCTAGAATGCGTGCAGCACACCCAAAGTATGTTGATAGTGTAAAAGTTAGCCGTCCAGTCTGCGTCTACGTCTATCACGAGTCTTCGGTGTTGTTGGTTGGACTAATGCATCGGTGTGTTGGTTCTGAAATGCTTTCCAAACCTGTACGTGCTTTTCCCTCATAGAGGGACTACTGATTGATAGCGGGGAGGGGGTTCAGAGACATTGAATTCATCACTACTGATTCAGCATCAAGAATGTTTGTGACCCATTGTGCAGTCGATTGAAGGCGAGCTCTTAAGGTAATATACGACAGTCGGCAATCGCACCCTGCAGGATCATAAACTCTTTCCTGATCAACTTTTCGCTATGCTTGCCCGCCGCCTCATTTGACCACTACTCTCTTGCCAACCAGGGCCTCTCTGGGGGTGCTGAGGCCCCTGATTTTTTAATACTCAGATCGAAAAGGCAGAACGGCCCGACACCTTCAGTCCGCCGGCTTATGCTTCTGACCTACTGGTACATTTTTTCATTCAGAGGCGATTGCAGAAACCAATTAGGTTAATGGATACGTTACGTCAGAAAGTCGACGAGGGCATTTTTGGCATTGTGTCTGGGGCCGGAAGACTCTCCAGTTGGCTGTCCTTTTGCTTTCTGTATAAACTCTTGTACTTATCGTGGCCGTTTTTGATCGGTTTTTATACAATTCTAGGAAACCGCTTCCCTCGTCTATTTCACTAGCCTCCTCCTACTGTCATCCTTTTCTTGTCCTCCTAGTTGGTCATTAGTCTGCCCAACTGGATTATTCCAAAACACTGTGTCCGACGAAAGAAGAAGAAGGCCACCAAGAAGGCCGACTATGCGGAGGTCTATTTGTCTCCAGAGTCCGTGCCGTTGGCCGCAGCAGTTGGTACGCCAAGCCCTGCTGGTCCACCGCCTCCAGGCAGTCAACCCTTCTACAGGGCTGCTACCGTGGAGGCCGAGAGCGAGGAAGAGGAGGAGGAGGAGTCAGAAGACGAGGAACCGGGTGATCTTGACAGCGGAGACTTGCGTAGTACCGGCCAAATCCTCTGGATCCGTGGTTTGTCACGTTTGCAGACACAGGTACGCAGCTTTCGCTTCTCTCGTCATTCTTTTTTCTGTCTTGTGTATCTCTCGCTCCATCGATTATCGGGTTTCTCAACCCAATACTGAGAGCTTATGTTTTCTAACC